CACCAACTCGACTTGATTTGAACTCGACTCAGCTTATCTGACTCGTGAGTTAACTCGACTCGTCCGGAACTCTAGTTATTACCAAGTTGGATAAAAATATAATTGTGAAACAGAAATTAAAGCAACAGTTATTATCACTTGCACATACATCTACATCAGATTAAACTTCAGAAGAACAGGATCCATCTTCAGATACCACATAAAATATAGTTTGCATGTTCAGGAAAGCTAATAAGCTTGGTTAAGAAGCAATTTTGTACTGGTATTATTTTATAGAAAAATATGACAAAAGGATTAATTACATTATTGCTGGTAGAGTTAAGAAAAAAACTGCAATATCTATGGTATATCAAGAAATTAAACAGTTTTTATCTGATATAACAGATGTGAATTTACGTCAAAAAATCCTTAGAGCTAGAAAATTATATAAATTATTTAATAGTTTAGGATTAGAAAAAATTAAATAGGTCTCTTATAGCGCAGATGCTATTTCGAGTCTCAATTATTCACAAATACAAAATATTATAGATTATGTGAATTCAGCGACAAGTTTACACAATAAAACCGTGAAGATTCTTTATAATCAGAGTCATGTAACTTCAAAAATTAATCTGATTAATGCATATATTCCTCCAAAAGCTGAGACAAATACATCAGCAAATGTATTATCTTCATCTCAATTCAAGAGTCTACTCCATGACCGCTCCTATTTTCGCAATAAAATATTGGACTAATATCCTGCTTTATATAGAGAATTTAGTAGTGAAATTTCAATTATTATGGCATTACTGATGAGACATCATGCAGGGTCTCGAGAGAAATTATCTACCCATTATGCAATTTAGATCATGATGATGAGGAAAGTATAGAAGGTATGTATAAATCCAGATCTTACTTTATTAAATGTGAACAGCGTAAAATTGAGATAACTGCATAGTCTCATTATTCCTTTCTTATATCATAAATATTTTGAAAGATGATCTAATTATTTTTTTGGAAATATGATAAGAAATAGTAAACAGCTTTCTATCTAGGAATTTAAATTGATTTATAATCATATAAAAAAATAATATAAGCAAGTTTGATAAAGTATTAATCCTCGAGTATCTGGATTTACTTGCTAAATTAACTGGTTTACTATGTATTTTGATAGATAATATTCAGTCCAGCTTATACAAAAATATAAAAAAGAAATTGGATATGATCTATAGCAATTATTAAAAGAACATGTATCAAAAGTCAGCTTTTTCGTAAATTTGAAGCTAGAAAATAAAGCATCCTATTTATCTTTTCCTAAGCAATGTGAAGAAAATGGACCTATCACTTTCGAAGCTAAACCTGATCCAAAATTAATTATCAAGTCTGTCTTAAAACATTTTACATACCTGAAATTCTGAAATAGTTTTAGAGGGATTGATAATTATAATTTTGCATCACCTCAATTGTGAAGCTTACCATATTCTATTTGTAATGGAAAACATGAAAATTATGGATTATATGGCAAATGGTATGGAACAGAATATTGTCTTAACTGTAACTTTTTAAGCAATAAATTAAAGTTTGTAATCATAGCTACATGATAGCATTATTGCACTAGATATTATTCTGCAGTGTAAATAAAAATATGTATTTTTTTTATTTACAATCAATAAAACTAAAGCATATTAAATACAATATATTTATATGTCATATCTAGTATATGTTGAGAAAAGTGTGGGATGTGTTTGTATGCTAATATTTTTTAATCAGTTTTTCATCTATAAATCGATACTTGATAAAAGCACAATATTATTTAAAAAAAGTCACCATGTATTATGAGAATGAGTCATTACCACTATATCATTTATTCTTGAAACTTCTCATATATACTCAAACTTTTATATATATTAATAATAAAAAAGATCTTCTTGTTGATCCAGAAATACAATCTCAGTGTTTATTATAATTTTAAGGAGTATCTGTTGATCTAATTTCGTGATGAATCATAATAATGTAATTTCTTCAAAGATTTATTTCAAAAATCGATCCTTAAATGCATTACAAATCTTATAAAAAGGTGAAGCTTTATTTAATGAATCCTTTTATCTACCTTGTACAAGTAAAGCAAAAAAGGATCAAAATAAATATTCAAACTTACCACTATTAACCTCAACAATATCAACAATCAATCAAATTGCAAAGTAATAGCAAAATTAGTTTGTTTGATTTCTTGGCTTGATTCTAGAAAATCAAATTTTATTTTTTGTTAAAGATACAGCATATATTATTTATAACGCATTTGGGTATTATAAATTTACTAAAACTATTAAAGCAGATTCTATATTTTCTAGCAGTAGATAAGTTACTATATCCTGCTCTATTTGTTTGTCAGCTTTAGTATAGGTGCAGTGCTCCTATTTTATGGAAACACGTTAAGTTAAAGATAGGTAGCATACAAAAGATTTTTATAAAAATATTGCATAGAGAGCAAAAGCCAGTTTATTGTTTGAATGTAACTTATCTAGAAATTTCAAATTACTATCAACTTTCAGATAAAAAATTCAAAAGAATCACAGGCTTGCTTCCAAATATAGTTCATTTAGATTTTAGCTATAGCAGGAGATTCAGCGATAAGATACTAAAATGAATAGCAAAATCATACTACAATTTGAAGTATCTCAATTTGCAGAAGAATGGGAAGTAGGTCATAATCAGAATCAGATATCTCAAAATATTCACCTTAGAAGAATAAGAAGGTTAATGTATGAGAACTATATTTCTTCCTCTAGCAACCCTGGCTGTAATACTGAAATAACTGATGATGGTCTATCAATAGTCATACTGAGATGCTGTAAATTAGAATATCTCAATATTTTCCAACACATAGTGATTACTGATATAACTATCAATGCAATTGCTAGTTCATTTATTATAATATCAGTAAAGAAGTAATATACCAGCTTATTCCAAATGTTCATGTTGAAAATATCGTGAGTATTTCACTTCATTATATTAGTGTAATAGATAAATATTTTAGCCAATACAATATTTGTAGATTAGTTGAGTTAGAGCGAAAGATAAGGGATCGTAATAATGCTAATAATCTGAATTTTGTCTTAATATTGAGAGCTATTAATAACTTACTAGCTGATCAAACCAGCTAGTTAGTCTAAAGCAGTGATCGTATAATTTTTTCATTTGAAGATATAATGTATACAGTCACACCTCGATATAACAAAGTTGCCGATCCAGCCGATCAGGACTTCGTTATAAGAATCTTCGTTAACGC